GAGGAGGTCAGGAGGAAAAACTGTCCTGCATGTTCTGCATCTAATTAGGCAAATGTACAAAGCAAGTTAAATAATAAAGTTTTGGTCTGTACTCTCTCAGTAAGTGGTCAAGAACAGACTATTTCCTGCCACAGGGGTTTATCATAAGTGTGCATGGATATTCTAAAGTACTTAGCATATATTTTAATAATTACTTACTCTGATTCTTAGGCAAGAATACATAGCTTTAGTTGCTTATTTCTAACTTCATATTCCCTAGTGCTAACTCACTTGCTTTCCAAATGCACAACACTTAGTTTACTTTTTCTCTTGTAAACTATTCAGCCAATTATTCACCTGTATTTTTCAGGGGAAACATTTCTGGAGACACAGAATCGTATCTTGAGAGAAAGAGAACTTAAAATTAGGAATGCCCTGGAGAAACTAAGAAGAAAAAGGTCTTTACTTAGAACTCAGCGCAGAAAACGTGAGTTTCCGATGGTCTCAATCATGGGCTACACTAACTGCGGTAAGTGAAACCTCCTGAATTTGTAACGTGAAAGAGATTATATTGTCTAATTTTTAATTAGCAACTCTAGCCAGAATCTCATTTCTGTGTGAATAGGCTTCATATTTTAATTAGTTTTTAAACTGTTTCATGAATTTATGTCACTTAGGTTACAGTTAGGAAAGCAAATTAAGCTGCTTGTTTTTTTCAGTCTCGGAGACATGTTTTGGAGAAATGCCTAGCACCTATTGTGCCAAAAAGATTTTATATATAGTGCTGAAGACGTAGTGTTGGTGTCCCGTTATATGAGACTACTACTTGATCAGAATGGGTAGAGAAACGAACATGGGTGTTTAGATCACCATGAAAGCTTGAGGCATAGGAAGAAAATTGAGAAGAGTTGGAAGTTGATCTGAGAAATGTGCTTAAGAAGCACTGTAGCTTTTCATGGATTATGTGCAGTGTTTTGAGACGTGTTCCTAAGAGAATATAAATAAAGCTAAACTGGTTTTTTGTTTTTGTTTTTTAAATTTGAATTCTTACACAAGGCATAAATAGACTTTGGACTAGACACTTTTTTCCAGGTTACATTATCTTAAGACCATTTCATGTTCCTATTCAACAACTTTATAAAAACAAACTTACCTTGCACAAAGATGTGGGTAGGTCACTTTACAGATCAAATCAGTCTTTGATCATCTTGTGATTTCACTGCATAGCTCCCATACATTCACCTTAAACCCAACTCCGAGTTCTAAGACTGTCTTTGGATTTCCTAACATCATATAGATAACTGACCACTAAATTACTAAATGATCACATTAAAATTACTAAAGTAGATGTGAAAATGTTACATCATACAATTCACCTGGGCCTTGCAAATTACATTTTTACTTGAAACAAGCCATTCAAATCTTATCCTTTTTTATTTAACTAGGAAAAACTACTTTGATCAAGGCCTTGACTGGGGAAGCAGGACTTCAACCCAGGGATCAGCTGTTTGCCACTCTCGATGTTACAGCCCATGCTGGCTATCTGCCCTCACATATGGCAGTTATTTATGTTGACACCATTGGGTTCCTGACTGATCTTCCACATAATCTGGTTGAGTCCTTTTCAGCTACATTAGAAGAAGTGGCTTACACAGTAAGTAGTTGACTATAAAAATTGAGAAATCAAATTAATTTCCTGTTAGATAATCCTCACCCCTTCAAAAAAGGAGAAATTAATTGACATGCTGCTCTTAGTGAAACATCTGGCTGACTATAATAGTTTCCTAAGAAAATGTAAAAAAACAGTAAACCAGTTTTCTGATACTTGAGATTATGCAGAACATACAGATGTGAAGAGATTTTGGAAAGGGCTTATTTGGAATATATGTGTCCTTCTCCATGATATGTAAAGCAGATAAATCAGATTTTGTTGATTAAATGTCTGCATAGTGCACCTGAGTGAGTTGAGACTAGCTTTCTTGGGAGCTAAAAGTGAAATAAAACTGCTGAAATGATCTGGTTTTAACTTAAGGTTTCCTATAGCACTAAAAATGGGCGATTGTGATGTGATGCAGGCAGCACGTAATTAGCATAAATGTACTTTTCCAATTATTTTCTCATTATTTTCCTGTGTTATAGCAAAGTGTAAAGCTGCATACATACACACAGACATTTAAAAAAAAAGCCTGTATCATCAAAGGTAATTAAATTCAGTGGTAGCTAGACACTAGAATGCTTCTGAGGATTAGATTTCACCAGGGCTTTCAAAACCTGGCTGAAACTGTCCTGTTTGTTTTTCTCCAAAGTGTTAAATGAAAGGCAAGAAATTTGTTTCTTACTAATTTTCAAAAGTTTAAAGCCGTGTCTTGAGCAAAGATGATGAAACATTTTGAACGCAAATATTGAATTTGGTTGCTTGTTTTTTATCATGGCAAACACGATTGTGTGCGTACTTGAAACCGATAACTTCTGTATAAAGCTTTTTAATTGAACCACCAGTAATAGTATCCTGAGAGCTAGGCATAAGGATAATCTTCTGCATTTTGAATGTAAAAATAGAATTACAAGTTACATGGGGTTTTTTCCCTCCATTTTTGAAACAGTTTTTCAGCCATTACTCTTCTAAAAGTGCTTTTTAGAGTTCACTCTTTTTTTCCTCTGGTGTTGTTGAAGCCTTATCGTTACACAGCCTTGTCTTTGAAAAGAATGGATCAGCTATTACTTGAAATATGAATTCTGTAGCTAGCTTGGTTGACAGGGTTTGTTTCAGGTTTGTTGGAGGCAATTTGTACTCAATGTGAAGTGAAATACTAAGCTGCTACAGATTTTCTTCCATCATGGTCTAAGAAACAGAATTGGTTCAATACTGTTTCAGTAGTTAATTTTACAGTGCTAACCTGCCAGTATATTATCTAATGGATAGGGAAGTATCTTGTATGAGTAAGTAATACAAAAATGGTGGTAAATCTCTACAGCCTGGTAACTGGTGTTATGTATTGATCCTTGCTAGGATCTGATAGTTCACGTGAGGGATATTACTCATCCAGAAACCATCCTCCAGAAAGCAACTGTTCTGTCAGTTCTGAAGAATCTTAATCTTCCCAGCCATTTATTGGACTCAATAGTAGAAGTTCATAACAAGGTGGACTTGATAGAAAGGTAAGCAGGAGATGCTTAAGTGTACTTAAACATTTCTTATGTTCTGGAAGCTTTTTAATTCTTAGTCTAGAAGAGCTCCCACACTTCAGAATACATTTAATAGTGTTTCTCAATCTTTTACATATGTAACTATGGTCTTAAAAAGAATTAATTATCTTTTAATAACCAAAGAAATCACTTTAGTCATAAAAGAAGTGGCCTCTGTAGAAGGTGCCAGTATAAAGTAACTCAGTTAAAATTGAGTTTGGAATATTTTCACAATCTAATCTTCATGAACAAATGTGCTAGGCATTATTTTCTTTCAGGTATAAACCCACAGAAGAAAACGCTTTAGCTATTTCTGCTCTACATGGGCATGGTTTAGAAGAACTGAAACAAGAAATAGAGAAGAAAATACTGACAGCAACAGGGAAGAAGATTCTGACAATTGTTGTCAACTTAGAGGGACCTCAACTAAGGTAAATAATTTTGAATTGTATGAAGGATTTGGAGAAATACAAAACACTTAGTTGTGCATTTCCTAAACCTTCCAAATCATACTGATTTTAATCTGTTTAAGAATGACAGATATAATTATCAAAGTTTTCTGACCTATTGACCAAAAATAGCCCCTTTAGATATCCTGGAGAAGTGAAGCAAAGCAGTTCATCTTTTCAAATGTTAAATTACCTAGATAGAACATGTTGACCTAAACCAAGATCACATTTTATGCAGTGTGTCATACCATTAAGATGCTAATATGCTTTTACTTTTACAGTTGGCTATATAAAGAAGCAACAGTTCAGGAAGTAGAAGTCATGCCTGAAGATGGCACAGCCAGGGTGAAGGTAATAATCAGCAGTTCTGCTTTTGGCAGATACAAAAACCTCTTTCCCAACAGTAAGATTTTCATGTCATGAAACTGAATCCTTTTCTAGGAAAAGAAACTGGTATCATTAAGAGGATGCAAAATAAAGTTAATGGCCTGTTAGTCCCAGTGTTAAGAAGTTTATTTTTCTTCCCCTGTTGATGTTTTTGACACATTTTAGAAATGGACACTGTTTCAGAAAACTTCTGTTTGGAAACAGTGAGACCTTTGACCTTAATTTTATCAGCAAGTGCAAGGACAACACTAAATTTTTAATGTTAAAACTGTTGCTGTCTATAAGCTGTGGACCTCAAACACATGGAATGGCATCTGACTTAACCTTCAGAAAAGTACCAAGTTCCTTATATCATATAAATAAAGCTTTTTATCCCCTTTTTCAGAATAAAATATTTATTATAGTTGTTTCAGATGATCTTTGGAAAATGAAAGTAAGTGAACAAAATGTTATTGTATATAAATAAGTATGTATTCAAGCAGAATGCATGAACATAAACAAAATAACTGCCATGTCATATTGCAGTGAAGAAAAAACTCCATAGCTTTGTATATTAAAGTATTGAATAAAGTTAGCTGTGAACATCTTTACCCATGCAGTTTTCTTGCTTACAGTAATTTATCCAAAATACCTATTACTGTGTCAGTCTTGGAGAAGACATTTAGGGTACAGCAAACCTTTCCACAAAGGAAAACAAAAGAAAAGAAACCAATCACAACTGATCTATTACTTGAGTTATGAATTACTACTGGAAGCCAATAAAACAGTCAATATCAGGAAAGGAGAAACAAAGCTATTTCAGTCCATATTACACAGAGAGATCAAGTTTTATTAGAGTAACAAGGGTACAAAAGATAGGCAGAAGAACATTCTGAGTTCTTCTGAGTACCTGTAACATAACAAAAACAGAACGACTACTCGTTATGAAGTACATAGAGTAAGAACAGGATGCAAATCACTGTAAAAAAGCATTTAGGAAGTCCTCCTCATAAATGTAATGTTTAATTTTTACTCCTGTGTATTCTGCAATTGCAAGAGATTCCATGAAGAGGTTGCTTATTACCCTGCTGAGCAGTTTAGAGAGAGTTTGATACAATGGTAAGTAGTAATTGATTTAAGCCTTCTGCAAACATTAGCATCTTGTCAAACATCTGAACTTAGCTTTTGTATATAAAGTGCATCTAAAAAGTGAGGTATATAGATGAAGCTGCATAGTCAATTTTATAGAATGACTGTTTTTGTTTTAGTTCTGATGGTTGCTATTTTTCTTGCCTTCATCTGTTATTGCACAGTTCATTTAGAAAAATAGAATTAATATGCAATAGCAAACAGCATAAACCCCTTAGTTTTCACATAAGCAAAAATTACTTCGTGAGACGAAAAATAATTATAGAGCTACTAAAATAGCTAAATCAAAGACCAGATGTGAAACCCCAAATGAGCATGACAGAAGTGAAGAACCTGTATTTCTAGAACAGTTTGAGTTTAGGTAAGGAATTTGTTTCCTCTGTTTATTTTCAGTGTAAGACAGACTTTGGCAACACCTAATAAAACATTTGACACAGACAAAACTGACTAGGGGCCTAGTTTTGGTATCTTTGTCACTTCAGAACTGGCATGAGTAAGTGTGCAAGTACACATACTGTTTACAAATCATAAATAATTTTGTGACTACTCTGTTGGTAAGGCAGTTCACAGCTGATACTCAACACATTGGTGTATACATAAAATCATGTCAAATTGGATTGTCAATACAGTACCTTTGATATATCAAAAATATTTTTAAACTTCCTTTTAAACTATGAGAACAGACAAGTCAGTTTCACACTCATATAAAAGAGTAAGAATTGGGGATGCAAGTAATGCAGAATATCCTTATAATTATAAGAAAGATAAAATCACTAAATAATTCATGCCTCTATTGGCATATTTCTCCTTCTTGGTCCTATGTAAAATAAGATTAAGTTGTTGGGACTTTCAATATTGCCTGCTGCTACAGAATCAAAACATCTCCAAATAAATTACACCTATACCATAATTTTCTGGAGACTTCAGCAAGGTCCAAAGGTCTTGAAACTCAGATGATGTTGAGAGACCTTTTCTTACTGAGCCTTTAAAGCATCCCAGGTTTAAGTTAAATAGACCTTTATGGGATTCAAGATGTTTACAGAAGAGCACATTAAATGCAGACAAAGCCTTTTCAGCTTTTCACAGACTAAGAAGCAAAGAATGAAATGTTATTTGTTCCAGCTTCTTTACTTTGACAGTCTAATGGAGAATTAATTTTTGTGTTAAGTTCTATCACATCTTTGACAAAATCATTGTTTCCTATAAAGTCTCCAGCTATTATGTTAATACATTCTTTTTTTGGTCCTGGATACTGCTGCTTTATCCAGATTTTCAAGCATGGAAGACTCTGGAGTGTCATTTTCTTCAACGATCCAAATGGGTGTAGGAGAATATACCCTAAATTTTCGGTAAGGTTAATCCCTGCTACAAAGAATTTTCCTGAAACAAAAATCAGAAAGTGACACATTAAATATTCTTTTAAGGAGAACAGAAACTGGTCAGTATTGCATTAGCTTCAGATCTTGTTCCGGTGGGAAGCATTAAAATACTTAAACTTCACACTCTTTCTGTATTGTTTCATATTCCTGCAACTGATTCAGTAGACTGTCTCCCCTTGTTGCAACTTCATGCTGTAGTAAACAGTTCCTGAACCACACTTGGTTATCTAACCATTCCAGTTTAGCTAAATTTGTCTAACTACTTTTCCTTTGTAAATTATGTTTGTTTCTGTGAGGGTTGCTTCCAAATGCTTAGCCTTCCCCCATGATGGGTGGAAACAAAGGGTGCACCACATGAGCATTTTCCTTTGGCTGGGAAGCACTTTTGAAGCAGCTCTCCCCTTTATCACCCTGTAGGTTCCCATCAAAAGCTACATCAGATGTTATTAGCTGAATTTCTCTCAGATTATACTACAAAAGCATGCTTGAGTGCTGCTATTTACTGGTGCAACTCCACTCTCCACGTACTGTTCTTGTATTCATAGAATCATAAGGTTGGAAAAGACCTCCAAGATAGAGTCTAACCTTTGGCCAAACATCAAACCACGACAACTAAATCACAGCACTAAGTGGCACATCCAGTTGTTTCTTGAACACTTATGGGGTGGTGACTCCACTACCACTGTGGGCAACTCATGACAATGCTTAACTACCCTTTCAGTGAAGAAAATCTTCCAAATATCCAACCTGAACCTGTCCTGGCACAGGCCTGAGGCCATTTCCTTCTGTCCTGTCACTTGTTGCCTGGGAGAAGAGGCTGAACCCTGGCTTGCTACAACCTCCTTTCAGGTAGTCGTAGAGAGCGATAAGGTCTCTCCTCAGAGAAACCTCATAGGGGTTTCTTTTCACAAGGCTAGCAGAACGCATCTCTCATCATCTGTGCTGCCTAAAGCAGCAAGCTCTGGACTTGAGGAAGCTGCGTCCTACCCATGAGGTGGGTACAACAGGGCCAGTGAGCCGGTCTGTACTGAGGGCCTCCTCTCCATGGGATCACATAAGGGATGTGGTTGCCACAATTTATATAGTCTGTGCATGTACATACACTGACACACCACCACAGATGAACACTGCAGAGCACTCAGCAACCACGGACACACAGCATGCACAAAGGGGTTACACCTCATAAGGTTACAATCACCCAATTTCCTGTCTGTTTTGCACTGCTGTAAGTGCCCCTTCTTTCTTCCAAGCAATTCCCTGTGCCTACCTGGACGGCCCCTCCGCTTCATGTGCTCTAAATACCGGATAAGAGCACGAGTGGATGTTTTGTTTCCCCACCAGTATGGGATCGTAGGCCACAGCTCACAGTGCTCCTTCAGTTCCATGTCCTCTTCGTATGAGACTATGACCTGATGGCCCAGCTGCCACATGGTCCTCAGTGTTGGCATCACCTAAAATAAAACATGCTCCGGTTGAAGTCAGCACCACAGCAGCGTTCCCAAAGTTCGAATACTGTTGTGTGACATTACCTTGGCACAAATTCAGCTCAGATAAAGCTTTTAAACAAGCAGCCTGGTAGGTCAGGGGCTGGATTACAAACTGCAGGGGCAACAGGAGCCTGGTTACTTCAGCAAATTCCTCCTTTTCTCAATTCAACTATGATAACGTACAAAACTGAAGGTCTTACACCTGCATAAGCATCCCTGTGTCAGCCCTTGTGCACAAGCCACTGCTGAAAATTTGTTGAGAGAGGAAGACACAGACCATCCATGGACAAGGAGACAAAGCCCTACACGCAGCTGTAGGAATGCAGACACAGACACAGAAAAGCAGGAATCATTTTGGCAACTGCCCCGCATTAATGCATATTGTAGCCATTAAAGAAAACTGAACTGCTTAAAACTTGATAAGACTAAATGTCAGTCTCCAAGAGCTACATTAATTCTGATTTCTTTAAGTGGAAGGTTTCTGAAATTGGGATGCTCCAGACATTTTGAATTGAGAGAGAGAAAGACTTGGGTCAGAAACCTTCTCTGACAGACAGATGGGCTGAAATAGGTCTGTTAAATTTAAGTATTTCAATATGAAATGACATTTTCCAACCCTCAGAAGTTACCATGGGAGAGAATTGAGGCCCTCTGACTAATTTAATTTGCAAAACCTACATATTTAACAGGCGTTGTTTTTTCTAAGAATATTGCGGTTAAAAGCTATGTCTGTTGCTTTTGAAAAGGAAATGGTGGCATTTTGATGTTCCAATTAACTTATTAATTAAAATAAAAGCCAAAGTCAATTGAAAATTATTTACGTAAATATTTGAAGAAAGGCAAGGGTTGAATGAACACAGCAATCCTTCTTACTTCATCCAAGAAAAACAGATTGCAAGCCCCAGTTAGGTGAGAAAATACTGTAAAATTAAGGCACAGGCTGCTAAAACTACAAAATTCTGTGTTTGACTGCAGCCTTTGCTTTACTCTCGCTGCCTTTCTAAAGCTAGAACCTCTTAAGCAAACAAACAAATAAAAAGTTGTGGAGTAAAAGCAAAAAAAAAAGCTATTAGAAATGTGTACATGAGCACAGGTGCATATTTTGCAAACAAAGCAGAAATGAAACTGTATGTGTCTGACAAGGGATTTTGAAACCCTAGTAATCCAGATCAAAGGAAGACACCTTGAATAGTTAAGGCAATTAAAATTTTAAACACAATGTAATATTGTCACGCTGTGGCCTGTGCCAGTACTACATACAGACCTCAACCTAGCAGCTGCTTCATAAACACTTTGACACTTACTCTTCTATGATGACAAAGATGCAGTATTGAAAGACAATAGATAGCAGTTTATTTTAGAATAAGTGAGTAAACACTTTGATATTAAATCTGAATCTGTGATCCTGGAAATTCCCACAGTTGCCAAACCTGCAATGGTACCACCAGCAAAAATGATGAGATCCATTGTGCTGGTCACACACTCCATACAGATAAAGTCTTCCTGTTCAAGGGAAGTACTTGGCTTGTCTTTTCTGCAGTTCCACCCCTCCCCTCCCCTGGACACAATTCAGAAATGTTCTTTCTTTGGTAAAGTGATCTCAAACCATTCTTTCAACACCTTCATTCAAAAAACTCTCATCAGCAGCTCACCCCTTTCGCAGTTAATAACTCTTTTTCTGGCCATGTATCTGAAAGCAAATTTGACCATCTTCTCCAGTATCACTCTGCTCATCCACAGCTTACACACTCAAATTATTTGGGGAAACAATAGAACAGTGTTACTCAGGTCTTCAGTTATTCAGCTGAGGCCTGAATATTAAGAATCCCCTAGTTTTGCTGAGAATTGTTCTATTTTAACTCTGCTGTACTAAATGCTTTGAAATGGTAATACTAACCATTACTTATACACCAGCTTCAAAGGCTGGATTTGAATCACAAACAGGGTCATCATTCTCCTGTACCACTTACATCTCCAGAGAAAACCCTCTGTTCCTGCGCATCTTTGAAATGTTAATTGTTTAACTACTAAAAGCTCCCATACCTCATAAAAAAAAAGGGGGGGGGGGAAAGAGGAAACTAAAAATCTCGATTTCTAAAATCTATCAATCAAATATTTTCTGATGATTTAAATTAAGGCTTTTCTGGAAGTTTGGATGACTGAAAATCTGATTGGAAGGTCAGCTCCACGAAAAAAAAGTCAATGCCACCAGAAATGAACTGAGGTGCCATTAAGAGGGACCTCAACAGGCTGACAGAAACCTCATGAAGCTCAGCAAAGAAAAATGCAAAGTCCTGCACCTGAATGGACTAACCCCACACACCAGGACAGACTGGGGACAGCTGGCTAGATATCTGCTTTGCAGAAAAGGACCTGAAGGTTCTTTTAGACATCAAGCTGAATGTGAGCCAGCTGTGTGCCCATGTGGCAAAGGTCAGCTGTAAACTGGGTTGTATTAGCAGAGGTACAGATGGCAAGTCAGGAAAAGGGGTTCTTTCTCTTCTGTTCAGCAGTTGTGGAACTGCATCTCAAACACTGTTTCCAGCCTGGGCTTCCCCACTACAAAAAAGTCATTGATGTGGTGGATGAGTCCAGCAGCATGCAACCAGAGTGAGCAGAGGCTAGAGCATGACACACAAGGACAGGCTGAGGGGGCTGAGTCTGTTCAGCATGGAAAAGAGAAGACTGGACAGGTCTTACTGCAGTCTGCAAACACCTAATGGGGAGATGTAGAGAAGACTCCTCAGATATGTGTAGCAAAGGATGGCAGTTGGCAGACACAGGTTACAGCAAGAGAGATTCTGATCAGATAGAGAAGAAAAACACTGTGAGAGTGGCCAAATGTTGGAACAAATGTTGTATAGAAAGATTGTGGAATCTCCATGTTTGGAGATATTCAAGAATGGACAGGACACAGCCCAACATAACTTTGAAGTTAGTCCTATTTTGCATGGCTGTGTTGGACTGGATGACCTCCAGAGGTCACTTCCAACCTAAACTATTAGAAATAGCATAAAAATTCATTTATAATTATTGCTATGAAAAGGCAGAAAATAGGTTCTTTAAATTCTATAAATATAGCTTGTCTATATTTTTAACACACATACCTTTCCTTTCCTTTCCTTTCCTTTCCTTTCCTTTCCTTTCCTTTCCCTTTCCCTTTCCCTTTCCCTTTCCCTTTCCCTTTCCCTTTCCCTTTCCCTTTCCCTTTCCTCTCACATAGGACAGTGGATGACAGTTGTGTCTCTACTATTGTCCCACAACTGTTCCTCAACATATATGACAGTCAAATTTAATTCCCTCTTCTGTCCTAGTTACAGGGGCCAGGACCAGTTTATTACTGTATGGGTGCAATCAAAACTGTGTGTATTCTACACTCTCTATGTAATTTCTGATGGACTGCTAATAATGGGTCATTTGCAGTAGCTACCTAGGGCACACCTAATGACTCAGCTGTGGGGAGGCTCAGCCTGAGGGGTCATCTTTGCTAATGGGCCATACTGGACTGACATAATAGGCAGCTGCAACACCTAGACCATCAAAGACTCAAAAAAATATCCCATGACTCACAGAGTTAAATCACCCATTGTGAAACTCCTGCCCTGGCAGAGGTACTGGGCATTCCCACCTGAACCTGAGCACATATAATCTTGGGGTTTGGGATTTCTGCTACCACCCATTGGATTCAGAGGAGGATCAGAACTCCAACAGGACTGCCACTGCCACTCTCAACAAGACTGCAATCATTATGTCAACAGAACTGCAACCATCACCTGGACTAACAGGTTTTCCTTTCCTTTTGCATTCCACCTAGGGGGCCCACGTGATGCTCGGCACAGGGGCCAATGAACACTGTTCTGTTCTTGTCCCAGGGTGTGGGGTTATACTTCTGTTTTTTGTGGGTTAAAACCAGTTTTTCTCTGTATCATTGCATTTATTGTGATTTATTTTTAGTAAATTGTAACTCTGACTTATAATCTCTAGAGTTGGGTTCATTTCTCCCACCGGTTTACTTTTAAACCAGCACACCTTCTCACTGTGGAATGTAGATTTCCTTTATCTCCTCAATTTTATTAGGTAAACACCTATCTCTGATGCAGCAAATGTTACCTTTCCTAGGTTACAAACACAGTGAAAGTAAAATATATCTAAAAATTTGGAATCATAGATCTCACTGTAATATATCATTCTTTAAAAAAGGAGAAAAAAAGGATCTCATACTTACATTCCTGGGACACAGTTTACACTGGAAAATCTCTTTTATACAGGCAACAAGATGACTGTGAAGTCTCCTGGTTAATCCATCAAAATTCCTGCAGGCTAAGATAACAACTTCCTGAGGATGAGCTTCCAACCACCTTAATACTTTCCACAGAGTATCCTACAGGAGAGAGTTAAGGAAACTTACAGAGTTATCTCTGCTATGCAGGGGAAAGGGTGTAAAATCAACAGAGCATTGACGGTGGAGTAGACTCACAATCACAATCATGAAAATCAGTATAGATTTCTGGAGGGGGCCATCAGACTGCCCAAAAGGGGTTCCAGAGAGATGTGTCCCAGGAAAACCTACTTTCACAGATCTGTGCCAGTTTGCTCTGGTTGTGGTTCTGGCACACTAGACTTACCAGCTTTGTATTTTGATAATATCCGTGAATATCCTACTGCCTATAGGCAGGTTAGCAGTAAACCTAACTCCCCAAGCTTCTTCAGAGACAACCAACATGTCAGTGGCAAACTCAAAAACAGGGAAAAGTTCTGTGCTTAAACATAACAGGACTCATTTTCCCTCTTTGGTATGGGCAATGACAACTAAATGAAGATCACACATAACTAGCAAGGCAGTCAGGCATTACATCTGTTTACAGGAGTGTGCCAGACACCATGGAGTCTCAAAACATAGAGTTCAGACTCATGAGTCTGAAACTGAAGTTTAGCCAGTTACTCTACAAATTAAAGGCTTTATTAGCTGACTGTGCCTGGCTGTACAGGTCCCAACAAATGGAAAGTATTCCAAGATGACAGAGCACATGCAAAGAGCAGCTCACAGCAGTTGCTTCACAGCAGCTGACAGTCATTTGATCATAGGATCCAGATTAAGACTCTCAGTCTTTCAGTGAAATATTTCTTTTTTTTTTTTTTTAAGAAAAAATTGTTTCTGTGATTTTTGTTAGGCTTTTAATGCCTTCTTCTCTTTAATAACTTTTCCCCCTACTAGGAAAACAGCATTGCTCTGGGTATCGTCCTGGGACAACACAAGATAAACCCCAGAACTTCGGGCACTTGGTAGGGGCTAGGCAGTGGAGAGCAGGCATGACTCTGGTTTGAGGATGAGGAGCTCATTGATGTTCCAGTATCAAGTGCAGCTGCCGAAATTAATTTCCAGCCCTGCTGATTTTCTCTAGTTTGAAGTCCTCACATAAGGAAAACAAATAACCTACTTAGAAGACCTTGGACCAGCATTTTCAGATTATGATAGATTTTAAATAAAAGAAACAGCACTGGTTTTATAGCCATCACAAAGGTATGAAAAATACCTGTACAGTAACAGTTGTGTAAACCATATGCACAAAGTACAAATTCATAGATGGATCGTTAGCCTTGTGGGCAATCCTGAAATCCAGGTATCTAACTCCAGCCTCAAGTTGCTCTGTCACAGTCAGGACCTGAAAGGTAAAACAGAAAACAAAGGTTCTGAGAGCTTGGAAGGGATTTGTTTCTTTAGTTTAGAAAGCTGAAAAAGGCGTACAAAGTCAGCCCTATGACATTTTTCTTGGGTCTTTTGTCTTTAAAATGTCACTCTATGGCACCAAGTTGCAGCTTTGAAGTATCTCACTCTCTGAACAAGAGGAATTAAAATTTCCCTGAAGAGTATACTGCAGGTACAGATTAGATTAATTTCAGAGCACTGCCCTTGTTGTGTTCTGAAAGCAAAAGATCCATTAACCTGTGCATAAATACACGATCACTCGTCACACAATTATTCATATGAACAACAACTGCAGGATCAGCACCTTAGAAATGCTGCATTTATTTTATTAGATCAAAGACTTTACTGTGGTTGTCTCTGCAGAGCTCACTCATCCTCAAAAGAAGAAAAAACAAAAATAGAAAAAACTAGTGATTATTGCTCTTTTTCAAGACAAAGTTTCTTATAAAGTTTGAATTGACCTGTAGAAGTCCTACAAAACAGAGGTAGTCCTCTATTTCCACTTCCCTCAAACCTCTTCTTCTGGATTCGAGGGCTGAATGGAACAGGTGAGAAAGCTGCTTCTGGGGCAAAAAGTCCCAAATGGTATGTGTTTTACATCTGTTAAGATTCTCTTTGAGTAAGAAAATAGAATCAATTTAATTAAATACGTTTTAACACTAATTTGTCTCAGTTCAACCTGCTGTGTACAACACTATCAGGTTTCAGAAAGCATACACGGGACTGATACAAGCCAGAAAGGATTCGATACAAGGCATTGCTCCTGAATAACCGCAATCACAGCTTTAGGGTTGAGACAGAACTTATGACACATGGCAGGATGCTCACCCCGCCTAGCTTCAACCACCTAACTTCCTGGTTTTTGGACAAGAATTTTATCTCCTCAGGCTGTGCCTGTGGTTCTGGGCTGGGACAGGCCAGCCCCACATGCCCTAGGATTCAGATGGTGCGATCGGTCTGGCCAACAGCTCCCTCTGTGCCTGCTGGGGCTACACCAGGCTGGAATAGTTGAAGGGTGATCCAGGCCCCTTTGCTTGGAGCATGTTGGAGATGGGAATGTGTGTGGCTGTAGGTCACATATAACCTTTCTGTCCAGAAAGAGCATCAGGTGAAATAGCTGAAATTGCCCTTTAGATGAGTCAATTTCTTTCTGTTGACAGCATGGGAAAACCAGACAAAGTAGACTCTCTAATGAGTCACCTGGGTTTGGATACTGAATCAGCCAGTGTGAACATTGCCCCCTAAAGGGCAAAATTTAAAAGGAAGCCCTGGGGAGCAATGCTGCTTGGTGCTGCAGGCATTCAGAGCATGAGTGGAAGTTACACAGGAAAGATTTGGGCCTCTAGGCTGACATCCATAACAGCCAGGGCTCAAGCAGGCACCTCCTCCTAGGCACTGGGCCATCCAAGAACCTGTGGGTCCTACCATCAGTAGGGCTCCTTCACGTGTGTTCTGGATACCAGTGGGTGGAGTCATCTCCTCACAAAGATAACTGGAGCACCACAGAGGTAAGGAGAGCAGGACTGCAGCTGTGCCTCTTTCCTATGAGCAGTGGGCCACTTCCCACTTGTCACACTGGATTTGGACCAGAAATTACTATAATATTAGGAGATTGTTTGTTACCAACAGTGTCACTTTGCCAGACAGAAACCTACAAGTCAGGAGCTACATAAATGTCGGAGTTGACAGAGAACCTGTCAGCAGCCTGGCAATTAGTGACGAGGAATTTAAACAACTTTTAGGAAATATTTACTGTAATGCCGGACGGAACAAACGTAATGCAGCCCAGACCAAAGGTCACCAATCAAAATGTGTATAGTGTCACCAATAGCATGTCACAGCATGCACAGTGTCTTCAGTGTCACCGATAAGAGTGTGTGCAGTGTCTTCTGTATTACCAATTGAAGTATATACAGTGTTTTATGCTTGAGACTTTTGACCAATTGTGTTGTGGCACAATAGTGTACAAAGAGTACAAAAGAAACACTTGAGAGCAATAAACAGCTTCCTGATCACCTTACACCTGGACTACATCTGATATCTCTGTCGTTTTGGCTGTTCTGACTTTAACAACAACACCTAAATCTTTTATTGGCTTGAGTCCCAAAGTAAAAAGCAGTTCAAGGTAAATAAGACTGCACTAAGCAAATGCCTTTCCACATCAGCTCATCATTGCCATTACACATACCCTGGTAGTGTCTAAGATTCCAGTCTACCAGAGCTGCGCAAACACAATAAATACTTAGGCATACTTATTAAAAATTATCAATTTTTCAGTTTTAATTCCATAATAATTAATTACTCCTTCAATAAGAACAAAAGCATACAGATTTTTGGCACATCTTTCATGTCAGAAAAGTCTCTTCTTTGGAAGGATCTTCAAAATCTCTATCTTAAATCAGAATCCCCAATTTTGTCTTTAATGTACATTTGTATGGAACAAAGAGCTAACTACTCTCTTAATATTTGGACATTTAAAAAAATTAACTAAACCTTACATGTAGGAACACACCTTCATTCTCTTAATCTTTATGGAAAAAAAATTCCTTCAATGAGGGATTCTTCTGTCTCTGCTGCTGGACAAAATACACAGTACGGATGGGGAAAACAACTGACATCTCACACAACAGTGACAGAAAAACGACAAGCATTACCTTCTGAACAAAGTACAGTAGAAAAACCTCTGTTGATTACAATAATATTATATGTCATTTATAACAACAATAAACA